CTGACTGCAGGTCCTTAATGAGACTTTTCCCCCTCTGTAACAGGCTCCCGTCACTTTCCACCAGATGCCTGCTGCTAGCCTCTGCCCGCTCCCCCTGGGGGTGCCAGCAGGCAGGGCTCCAGGCGTTCGTAGCACACCACAGGTACGCAGAGGGGATTTGGTGTCTCCTCTGCTGCCCGGTGCGGGGCTGGAGAACCCCCCAGGGGAGCACTAAAATGCCCCTTGTTCACCACCTGGGTGCCCCCGCTGCACAGGGCAGGGTCACGCAGCCTGGAGCAGCGAGGGGGCAGTGCCCATGCACTGCCACCAGAGCGGGAGGCAGTGGGCTTGGTGATGTCCCTGTGAGCCCACGGAGCAGAGGGGGGTCAACCTGCCCTTCACACCTCCACACAAGCACCCCTCAGAGAATGCTACGAGCACCCCAGGACCCTAGGCAGGACCATGCTGTGGACAGAGAGATGTGCTCTCTAGCCCCAGAGCACGTCTGGTTGACCCCAAAGGGGGTGTGTACATTTCTGCAATCCCAAGCTTTCAGAGTCCCCTTGTCCCTTCAGGAATTAGACACCTGTGTTTTTTTTGTTTGTTTTGTTTTGTTTTCCTAGGTATTTCATACAAGTGATAGACGTTTCCTGCTATGACAAACACAGGCTCCAACCAGTAACAAGTAGAAGGCACAGGAAGGGATCAGATACAGCAGAGCCCCCAGAGCTCTGCCAAAAATGTCCCCACCAGACCACGCCAGGAACATGGGCTGCCACGGTGTGAGCATCCCAGCAGTGAGCAGTCCTGCAGTGCCCTCCTGGGACCAGCAGCCTTGAATTGACAGAAGGAAACTGAAACCACATCAGATTTTGGAAGGGAGATGGGGAGAAACATCTCTAGATCCCATTGCGGACATCTGCAGCTTCAGCCCCCTGGTGATTTCATATTCCCAGTTGCTGCCCTTTCCCCTAGGATGATGCTCACTGCCTTTCAAAGACGTCCCCATCAGACCTGCTCCGAACACTTTGCCTACCTTTGAAGGCCAGCGAAGGCACGTAACATGAGGCACTGATGTGCATTGGAGGGTTGGCTCCTCACGTAGCCGTTTCCCCTCCTTGCATTGCCCGGCAGGCAGGGGGTAAATCCGAGCAGAGGAGGCTTTTCATGCACGGCTGCACCACAGCCACGCGGGAGGTCAAAGTGATGGCTTCGGGGCAAGAGCAGTTCACAAAGCAGGAGTACACCCGGCCACCTGATATATAACTGATGCAGCCACTGCACGTCACTGTTGCTCTTCTGAATCACATCTCCCACATCACAGTGGAGGCCCTTCAGCGAGGACTTGGGGAAGGGCTGGGGAGAAGGCACCCCACGGCACCTCGCGTGGCTACGCGCTGTGGTTTGCAGCCCCATTGCCTTCCCTGGGGTTCCTGATCTTGATGCAGTGCTGGAGGTCCCAGCTTTTCCCTGCATCCCCTCCAGACCTGGGCCAAGAGCCTGCCTTGCTCTGGAGGCTCTCCCCACCACGAGCCTCCGCGCCACAAACTTCAAAACTGGGTGGCCTGGGCTGACCCCAGGGCAGAAGGCGGCATGGGGACCACTGCCGGGCATGTGAAGTGGGCAGTTTGTATTCAGGCACGGAGAAGGGAAGGGAGAGGCTTTAAAAAATAAATAAAATTGAAAAAAAAAAAAAAAAAGAACTTGTAGCAGCTTGAAGTTTCCAGACCCCCTGACTTCTTCTGATCTGGGTTAGCGGCATTTCTTGAGGATTAACAAGGAAGCCAGGAAAATCGGAGTCAACGCTTCCCCCTCCAACTGGGCAATCCAATGTCTGATGGGGAAAGGAGGCAGGGGAGACGCCTGAGGCCAGCGAGGGCTGTGCCTGACGTGAAGGCATGAGCTTCGTCGAGCTCCAGGAGCTGAGAGCACAGGGGCCTGGCCAGGATCCAGCCCTGGGCTGGGGTCCACCACGAAGGAACGGTGATAAATGAGCCCAAAGCCCACCTCATCTCCCAGGGCAGGAGACCGATGGCTTCAAAACGGAGAGGGGAGGAAGGAGGGAGATTTGCCGGTAAATTAAAAGAAAGCTATGCCGTCCTGTAGGACCTGTGCTGCTTTCCACCCCTCGCTCCAAACAGCCTGGGCAACCCGGGCTGTAAATCTTCATCAGAGGCCCGAGAGGTGGAAATGACATGGGAGCCCAGTTGACAGCCTGTGTTTTCTTTACCTGGCTTTTTGGCTCTCTCCACTGCTGTGTGTTTGCCTTTTATCTGGAAGGGGCCAGATGTGGGCAGGGGAAGCAGGAGCCCCACGCCTTTGTACCCACCACAGATGTGCAATGGCCCCGTGCCCTGCTAAGCTGCGATGCTGCGGGGTTGGGCTGTCCTGCTCTGCCTGCTGAGGTCCTTCTGATGCGCTGCCAGCCCCCAGGCTCCTAACTTCTTCCAGACCATGCTCTCCTTCACCTCCTCTTCCTCTCCACCAGCCCGCCATGGCCTTTGAGCAGGGCAGGGGGTTGGAGGGGCTGACATCCCTGCAGGAGCTGTCTCATGGCTCCCGTGATCTCCGGTGAGGGGCCGTTCGTTCATTGCTCACTGACACATCTCCTGGTCATGCTGACCAGCTTCTCGCCTCTGCCCTTTCAGGAGTAGTCCCAGGAAGGGGTAACAGCAAGGGAGGGAGCAAGCAGGAGCAGGAGATGAACCACCAGGTGCGGAAGGGCATCTTCTCTGAGCCTACATATTTCTTTATCCTCTTTCTCTTCCACCTATGCTATGGGAAATGAACTTCAAAAGATTGCGGAAGCCTCCTAAGCATCCTTGTGTGAGTGCCTGCCCCTGCAGTAACATTCAACTAACAAAACAGAAGTGAGGAAACCACACGAGCATCTGTGTCCAAGAGCATCTCGAGTGGGACAGAGACAGCGGGGTCCCAGCCAGGCTCAGGAAGGTGGGCACCATTGCCCTACAATCTTAGGGGCAAGGCTCACGGCTTGGAGCCCCAGTCCAGGTGCAGCAGCCGTGGCATTCTGCACGGCGTGTGGGAGGGCAAAGCACTGCAGAAGGCTGGTCAAACACTGCAGTCATGCTTTCTTGTGCCCACCAACACCTGTACAGCACCAAATCTTTTACAAGGCTGGTTCTTGCTGGATTGATGGATGACGCGGAGATAACAGACCATGAACTCGGCTTGCTGAACCCAGAAAGAGCCCAGAGAGATCTCAGGACACCCCAAAACCTGATGCCCGAGTCTTCAGCTGAAACTCTACTCCCTCGCCAGCACATCAGGAGCCTGCACCCCACCAGTGCCAACCCCTTCCAGAGTTCCCCGTCGCCTTCTCTAACAACTCCATTCTCCAAAAATGTCCCTGAACAGAGCGCAACCCCTCTGGCAGCTCTGATGGTCTGCCTGCCAGGCCTGAAACATCAGAAGGATTTCCAGCAACCTAGTAATCGACTGGCCCACGTACTGACTAGTAGCTGCTGCTCGCTGCACGTGCCAAGGGGCTTGCACTGAAGCTGAGTGCATGCGCAGAGCTCCAGATGAAGCAGTGCACAGACACTTCCAGGGAGAGGTTTTTGCTTTGGATCAGGCCACTCACAGAGCAGTTAATGTACATGAGAAAGCAACAGATTTTCTGCTTGTTAACTTTTTAATTTTTTCCTTTTTTTTTTTTGCTTGCTGTAATAGGATCATGCCCTACTGTCAAAGATATTGGGTGGATTAGTAATAATGATAGAAGCAAATGGGAAAGCGCTATCTCAACATCCTTTGCCATGAAAATGTAAACAATTTCATGTGATTTTCCTTGACTTGACTTAGAGGCCATTTGGGCCTGTAGGGATGTCCCACGCATCAGAGGAGCGCTGGGGTCTCCCAGAGGGCATCCTTTTCCCCAGTGCTTGTGGCAGCATGGGTGAGACAGCCTAACTGTGCAAGCTGTGTTGATCTGATTGCACGTCCAGTGCCTGAATGCCACAGGCATCCGAGCTGCTCCACGGTTTGCAAAGCAGTCCATGTGACCGTAGCCATAATCGTAATTTGCTCAGCTCCCCCTGGCCCAAGAAATCCTCCTAACACTGTGAAAAGCTGTTTACAGAAACCACTTCCTTCATTACTAGGCAAGAAATTTGGCAACTGCTTCCCAGTGCACAACAACCCTACCCCAGAGCTAAGTAGAGCTGAGGTCTGCATCCAATTAAAACTGGAAGGGGGCATTAAACAATTAGCACGTAATTACTTGATTTGGGCTAGCACCAGGACTCTGGGGAGGACTCCGCCTGTGCCAGGGAATCTGTAGTGACCAGACCCAATGGGGACTTCAGCTGGAGGTATCGCAGACAAAACGCTGCTCTACCCACCAGCATCATGTTATTGGCCCAGCACAGTGCTAGTGAATCACCAGGAATTTTTCCCTGAAGCACTGGGAAAATCTTCTCCAACTGAACTACAAATGCTTGAGATTAAATTTAGCCAAGACATGCAGGGGGTAAAATGTTAACCCTGACAGAAGGCTGTCAATTGTTGCAACTAAAACAGGTCACGGCGCTGGGATTGTTGCTTTGAGGAAAAGCAGCGGCTCCAGGAGTCTTCTAGCATCTTGGTACATCATTAGCTAATTACCTGAGAGCCTGCACACACTTCTGCATGTGCTCCATTTTCAGCAAGTGACAAGTGCATTGAGGTGTGTGGGACAACTCATGTGCTTTAGGTTAAGGCACTTAACGTCCACGTGCTCGATGGCAGCTTACATCTCATTCCCACCTGCTGTGACCTAAATTAGGAGAATACCTCTCACATCTGAGGAAATAAGCAAGACGAGAATCAGCTGCTCTGCCTCGTGTCTATCCCAGCAGCCAAAGCAGGGCTCCAATAAATGCAGCGTACCATAGCCTGTCCTCTTCCTCCAAGCTGGAAGGAGGGGAGGCAGGGAGGAGTAGTGGCAGACCTACTACAGACTTACTTTTTTGGTTTGCCTGCTGCATTCTCGGCCACATGGTATCCAGGTTTGCACTTGTAGCGGCAGACGGAGCCCACATCGTGGTTACCCTGTAGGCACCGTGGGACCAGGAGCTTGGCGTTGGGCACCGCAGGAGGCGCGTCACACTCCAGCTTGCAGTAGGCTTCGGGGAGCGACCAGAGACCGTCCTCCAGGCAGGTCAGCCACTGGTTCATTCCTGGCACCAAGAGAGAAGCAGCATGTTTGGGTTCAAAAGTCCTCTTGTTAGAGTGGGCATGGACACGAAGGGAAGCAACAAATTGGAAGACCATGGGCTAGTTGGACAGCTAGGGGCTGGAGATGTGATTTCGGTTGTGCACATCTTCCCCCAACTCTCCCTTAAATTCCCCTCTCTGGTGATACCTCAGGAGAGTCGTCAGTGGGCTGGGGGCTTTGTGTATGACTGCCTCTCTCTCGTATTTATTTCAGCTCAACTTCAGTCTCCCTGGGTGCTTTCTGCAGCTTGTCCAACACCTGCCCTTACAAGCTGTCTCGCCACGTGTACAGCACAAGATGGGAAGTGCCAGCAGGACAGATGCAGGAGCCCTACCTCGTGTAACTGGGAATTCTGACCTCAGAGTTGACAGGGAACTGGGCATCACTTTCTTTTTATAGGATCACCGCTCTGCCTACAGCTGCTCTTGGACAAGGGCAAGACCGTGGCTCCGCTCAGTGCTTGTGTTCCCGACGGGCCGGTGCTCCCAGCGGCAAGGCGAATGGCTTGTCCCCACCTCCAAGTGCCGTGGCAGGAGCCATGCAATCCCTTCCCTTCCTGTTCTAAGCATTTATTAGCACTGAGAGGCTGCCCATAAGGACACCAGCCTTTGGGGAGTACAAGCAGCAGACACGTTCCTGCCTCGACAGCTCGGCAGCTGGACCTCTGCGAGTCTACCCGCGCGCCTCGACAGCCTTGGCTGAGCACCACCAGGACTTGTGTCAGCTGCTGGAAGCCACCCAGGGCACTCCACGGATGGGATGCCTCCCGCCAAGGGAGCCCGTGGCAAACCTCCCGTTGACTTCAACGGGAACAAGAGGAGGCTGTTAGGGAAATATCAGCTTCAAGCCCTGCCCTCAGTTGACCCACCGAAGGCAATGGCATGGGTTTGTGCAGAATTTGGTCTGTCGAGTTGTCGTTCATGCGCTACCCTTTGATCAGCTCACGCTGGGATCTGCCGGCATCCCTCCTGTCATGAAATGAGACCTTAATTCCCTGCAGTTTTTGCTCCGTAGATTTAACTAAAAAAACAGTAAGTGATTCTCATACGTTTCAGCTATAAATGTCGCCATAAAATAGGGCACCCATTAAAATGATTTGTTGTATGTGATTGTTCGGAGCAAAGGCGCTGGTGGAAACTCACATAAAGTCCCAATGCTTGAAGCTGTCAAGGCAATTACCCACGAAACCCCATCCAGCTCAGCCTTGTATAGACAGGAACAGTAGCTCTCTTTCTCCGACTTGGCTTAAAAACATTCCTGTGGGTATTGATGGAGTCGGCAGAATGAAAGCCAGGCCATGGCGTGTCTGGAGGACTGCTGTGTGTCTGGGTGGTGCACATCTCTGAGACTGCTCTGCAGCTGTGGGCATCAGTCTCTACGGCTTTATAGTGCCCCAGGCTTCCTGAACCATATGCTTTCCCACAGCCACCAGCCCATTTTTGGCTCTCTGAAGTCCTCCCTGTTTGTCTGCACTGGATCCCTACGCTCTTCTGGCCTCCCTCATCCCCCATAATGCTGGAGCCTGCCAGACCTCACCAGCTCTCAGAAGAAGACATCCCAACACCCGGATGGGAGTGGATATGGGTCGCCAGCCAGGGGGTGAGCATCAGAGGGAGCTGTAGCTCCCCACACCGTGGTGTCCCTGCTCAAGAGGGATGGTTGCCCACCATGTAGGGAGGTCTCCCAAGAGCTCACCTGGTTGGCAGAGGCGAGGACACCCAGGACATTCAAAGTAGCAATGGTCACTTCGAAATACCTAGGGACACGCACGGAGAGGTGGCACCAAAAAGGGAGTGTTAAATCCCCTGGCACTCCAGACCATACCTTGAAGCTTGGCCGGGTGGACGCAGGAGAAGGAGCATCGCTTCAGGTAGGTGGTCCCTTTGGGGCAGGAGAACTTGGCGTAGTAGACATGCGACTGGTCAGGGACACCGCAGTCAACAGGGTCACAAGTCACAGATCGGTCCCAACGCCCTGAGCTGCACGTCAGAACCACGTCCTGCTGCGGAGAAAGTGAGGCTCCAACAGACCCCCAAAACCCAGCTCTAACAGCACGTTTTAGTACCGCAGCCAAACGGGCTGGCTCAGGTTTCAGGGACTTTGTGTGGCACAGTGTGGCATTCCCTGGGGTTCAAGGCATGATGCTGGGGGTATGAAAGCAGCGACTGGTCCCTGGGATGACACACAAGTCACTCTAGAGGCTGTCTGCAACTGCTTGCCTCCAAGTGTGACATTGTCTAAGTGGTGCTAGAGCACAGTAAGGGCCAAAAGATATCCCTGCAAAATACACAAAAATTTCCTGAACTACAAGTTATTCCCAGCTCTGTGCACTGCTGCTTTCTCCCCTGCAAGACTGAGTCTTAACACAGCTGCTGATGTACACCTCTCCTGTTGACTGGTTTTCCCCAAATATCCTGTTCCTGTCATGCCCATGGAGCCCACTGAAAACCGAGGTTTGTCTACCAGCATTTATAAGTTGTAATTATGAATCTGGGGGACTGCATGAGAACCTGAGTCCTAACTACCAGGGGTGCCAGGCCTAAATGTGGTCAGTATGTGCCACAGCCCAGGGACAGGAGAAGCACAGGACACGCTGTGCCCATGACCCGGCCAAGGCGACTCAGCTCCCAAGGACCTGTCAACCCTGAGTCTCCTCAGTCACGGGCTGAGAGTGGAGCTGGCTTGTGGCTTTTACAAGGCAGCCCCTGACCCTCTGGAGAGGTGGACGAGCTCTTTCGTGCTGATCTCTGCGCTGCCCCAGAGGCTGGGCAGCAGGATAGCAGCACAGCACAAAGGAAGAAAAGCTCCTGGAGGCTGCTCTCCTCTGCAGCCCTCTAAATATAGTTGTTCTGCAAGGACATCTTTTTTTTTTTTTTTTTTTTCCCCGAGCCACTAACTTCAACTTTAAAAGAGAAATCCCCTGGGATGCTTAGCCCTCCCAGCAGTGCCCATCCAGAGAAGAGAAACGCCGACCTCTCCCTCTGGGAGTGCACCACCCCAGCCTGGGATGTCCCCTGCGGTGGCATTTAGCCTGGCAGAGCTGTGGCAGCACGGGGCTTGGGGCCTGGGGGGATGGCAGCAGAGGAAGGAGAGGGTCCGGAGCAGCTCCACCAGCACTGAGGTCCAGTGCCAGGGCTGTCATCAGCCTGAGGTTCATTGAAAAAGCCTGGGTTTGGAAGGACAACGTGTCCTGGGGCCACACCAACCACCCTTGGCTGCTTAAGTCTTTCTCAACCAGCCCAGCAGTCACTCACCTGCGTGGAGCCCAGGCTCTTCCCACTGCTGGAGCGGAGCACGAAGCCCTTTTCGCAGGTGATGGAGCACTCCATGTGCCTTGGGCCATCAGAGGTGCAGTTCATGCTGGCGGTGTGAGCAATAGGGGGCTTCGTACAGCTTCCCAGCCCTGCACAGGCACCGTGGGCACAGCTACGGAGAAGAAGAGGGACGGGGTCAGCCAGCAGGCCCCTGGCATTGTGCAGCAGGGGGCGGCTCTCCAGGTGGCACCTGCATGGGATGCCCAGCAGGCCACGGATGGGTACAGAGATGTGTGCCCATCCCTCAGCCACTGCTTCTTCTAGGCTTGGCTTTCCAGATGCAACAAAGCCCAAACAGCAACACTGGGTGTTCCTCCTTCCCAGTAAGTTTTGAACCCACGCCTCAATTTCAGTCAGCTTTAGCATGAAGTAAGAGTTCCCTGTGCTGCTATTTAATGACAAGATTAGCAGCAACAAGTGGTCAGGAAGGAAAGATGAAGAAGCCTTTTAAAGCCTCTGCTCCTAGAAGGGCAACAGCCACATCAAGCACTGCATTGGACATCAGAGAACCCACGGGGGATGCTCCAACTGCAAAAAAATGGTTTAGCTGAAGAAGGAACCCCTGCAAATCCATGTCATCCATGAGATGTTCTTCAAACTACGTGCAGACACCCCCAGACCTGTCAGCAGAGTCCAGAGCTTCATGTCCACACGGCTGTGCTAAGCTGCGGTGATGCCAGGCTCTTTGGGAACAAGAACATCTCCACGTATATCTGTCCAGCCCTATAGGCTCAGCTGGGGCATACCTAGGACATTTGGTGGCTAGGACTCTTGTTTTCTGCTTGTTTCTTTGTTTTTATCCTTTTGCAAGTGGTACTAAGGTTGACAGCAGCCCTCCTGGAGCGGGGCAGAGGTGCTGCAGCTCCAGGCAATAGGGGGGGAGCAGAAGATGCCCCTTGATGCTCCTCTGCTCCCTGGCCAAGCCCCACTTTGCACAGGGCTGCCCCCAATTTTGTGCACTACATTTGGCCCACAGGAAGCATATGTCGTGCTGCCTTTGCCTCCCTCATTTGCTCAAGCCCTCCAGCTGAGGACACATGGCTAGAAATTCCTCAAACGACAAAAAACCCGGTGCTGACATGGATATTAAGGGAACGCAATGTGCCGCTGAGTCTGGACAAGTCTGCCGAGCCAAAGGCACGGTGGAAACCTGGGGGCCACAGCCCTGCAAGAGCTGGTGGGCACAGGCGGAGGGGAGGAACGGCACGGGAGGGGACCACAAAGGAGAACAAGAAAAAAGAGGCTGTTTTTTCAATGCAGACCTGTTTATGAAGTGAGAAATGGTTTCAGGGCAGCTGCTGCAAATTCTTTCACTAGCTTATATTTCCATTTGCTTCCTTTTTAAAGAATTTGTTTTATGAGCAGAGCGTTTGTCAGGTCATTAGCTTCTGAGGGCATCTGGTACCAATTGTGGCCCTATCCCCTCCTGCAGCTACCTTCTCCGGGCGGCTGCTTTGCTCCCCGTCCGTGCCCCTCGCGCACGCACACACGGTCCCTGCCCCTGCTGCACCTCCCCGGGATGCAGCCGCCGTCCTGACCCACACCCATCTGCTCATGAGGCCATGCTCATTGTGGTGGCACCTCCGAGTGCATCCAGCTGGGCCAAGGGCTCAACTCAAGCAGCTCCACGGGTGCTGGTGGAGCAGGGACACAACCCTGGTCCTCGGGACGTTTGCTGTCTGGTGACAGCACTAGCACAGCACGCATCGTTTGCAGCTCTGCTTTCCACCTGTTTGGACACACAACTGGCAGTGCTGGTAGAAAGCAGACCAAGAAACACGCACGTTACTGACTACGTTACAAACGCACCATGATTTGTAGAGGTAGGTATATGGGGAGATTTATAACTGTGTATCATAATGTGAGGTTGAAACATTCCTTTTTATATACACCACACGTGCATTACCCTGCACATGCTCTATATGTGCAGATATCTTTTAGCTTTCTCTCTTAGCCCCAGAAGGTGACTAACCTGTCACTGTTCTCTCTGTGTGACGACCAATGCCCACATCCCACAAAAAGAAAAAACACACTGCATTTTAGTTTGGACACGATCTGAGGCATGTTCTCAAGCCCTAAGTAGCTCTGAGCTCCCAGCCTGTACTTTGAAGTCTGATGCTGCTATTCCAGACCTGAAGAGGGGCTCTCATCACTGAAAGCTGGCTGCTATTCTCAAATACATCAGTAAGCTCAATTAAAAACAAAGCAAAAAGTCATTCTATCTACATGCTTTGCCTTGATCACTTCCTTTATCATTGCCAACACCACTGTGAGTGCCTTTGCATTATTCTGCGTCAGGACATCTTTGAGCCTGATGCCATACAAGTGCAGGACAAGAAAAGCCATGTGGCCTGGCTCCATCGTGCCTTACTATGGCTCGGGTAACGCAATGGAATAAATCATTGCTCCCAGCCGCTGGAACACCCCAACGAAGGCTGGACAAGGAAACGGTGTAGTTAGCCCAGTTCTGATCTCAGCATGAAGGAGCTCTTTCTCCTTTTGATGATAAATGAAATTCCTGTATCACAGCTGCAAACTCCTGACATTTGGCCATTTCTGGTTCAGACCATTTAAGACGTATGGCGAGCCAATATATTTTTTTTTTCTGTGTGAAACATCTAAAAAAAATTTCCATTTTTATCCCAGCACCCTTTGAAGCTCAAACTAATGATTTGTCAACAACATTTTTACAAAATGCAAAGCTTTTTCTCCTAACTTATTCCACATCAGCACCAGCCTGCATGACTTTCTGGGCTCATCGAGTTCCATAACTCATACATGAAAGAGAATTTCAGACCTGGAAATTTGTGAAATTCTGCCTGGCGATGGCCTTAAGTACTCTGGAATGATAAGAGCTTTCTTATGAAATGGGACCAATTCTATACACTTAGGGTAAAGATTTTCCTTTGGGATTCTTCATCGTTCTTTAATAAATGTGTGAGGCAACCACCACCAAGGGAACATGTTGAACCGGTGGTGACAATGCTGGTAAGAAGGGATCATTTTGTTGTAATGAAACCCAAATTCTGAAAAGCTAAAGTTTTGCATTTTACAGCAGTTATTTCACGGAACCCAGAAAATACTGATGGATTTACCCAAGTCAAGCAAAGCCAAGCCAAATACAGTGCAGCTGCCTAAAGTACAATAAATCATCCATAAATTGCTGTAGTATCTACCCCAGCTTTCAACCCAAACATTGCTCCTAAAACAGCCCTTAACATCAAGCTCCAACTTTAGCAGGGGAAAATTATTATTATATGAAGTTCATCTCATAGTGCAAATCTGGGGGAGAGGGGGCTGTAGGAGGTGTTGATGGAAAGGTAAAGGCTTCAGCCAAATCTCCCCAGGTTGAAAGTAGTCGCTGCATACACTCTGGTGGAGTCTGGATTGCGGCACTGAACATCAGTGAGATAAAAGATGTTTACCCCAATGCGGTCTAGCGAAAGAGGATAGCCGGGAAATGAGAAAAGGTGTTTTGGAAATACTTGGAAATTTCTTCTCCCTTCAGGCATGTTTCTCATGAAGGGGAAAGGTCTCACACTATTACAGTAAACCTGATGGCAACCGTCCTTGTGGGAGCAGGCTGCATGTACAGACCCAACGGTGGTGATACTTCTTGATTAAGATCTTCACGGAGGCCGCCACCTCAAGAAAAGATGTTTGCTTCTGTATGCGACTCCCAAAGAAACTTGCCAAAAAAATAACATCCCTATGAGTCATCTGCTGTCATCCACCTCACAGATAGAGAGGAGGTACCAGTGAGATGTTGAATGCGTCGAACTAGGTTTACAGAAGCTCAGAAAGATCCCGTCCAGAGGAGGCTCCTCGTGGCCTCCTCTGGACCCGATCTAACAACCCCACATCCTTCTGGTGCTGGGGGCCCCAGACCCGGAGGCAGCACTCCAGGTGGGGCCTCACAAGAGCAAAGTAGAGGGGGACAATCCCTTGCTGGGGAGGATGGAGCAAAAGGCAGTGACTGGAACTGGAGATGGACAGCTTTCATCCTGAAATCATGAAAGAGGCCATTTCCCAGCACAGAGGGTTACTGGATGCAAGAATAGCTCAGCAGGGGAGATGCTGAACTTATCACCTCCTGCAGTCTGTAATAGGAGATAGGAAAGCTTTCTGAAGGATGTGTTTAATCCAGCTTCTGGGCAAAATGTCGTTGCCTGTGTGCAACACTGGGGAAAGCAGGACAGAACGGGTCAGGCTGGCTGCAGTGGTACACTGAGGGCCTCCAGCAGCAAACCCGGGTCTCCCAGAGCTCCTTCCCTTCTTCATGGGACACAGGGAGGACAGAGGGCTTTGCGTGATTCACATAATGTCCCTACTGGTAAGAGAGTGAGGGAATCAAGACTGAGGTTCAAGGGTCTCACTGGGAGATGTGCCTGAGCCAGGAAGGAAAGGTCCCTTGCATCACACACAGCATGTCCATGGCAGCTCACCTTTCTGCTGCGTATCAGGGGCTGGCCACATTTAAGGAATATTTTTGGGACCAGGTGGCCCTTCCTCTAAGGTGACACCAAGCAGACTGTTCCTGAGCTGTTCAGCTGCTGTGTTCAACTCTCAGGATCAAACTGGTGAAAATAAATTGTGCTGAGAAATGTGTTTTCCCTAGGTGAGACTGGCTAACCCCAGGGAAAGGCAGAAGAGGCCTTGAGCATCCTAAAAAAGCCTGTATAAGAAACATTAAAACCAAGAAGCTAGCTGGGCTGCGGAGAGCAAAGGGTATGGAGCAGCCCCTGGAGATGGTCCTAGCACCTCCGAGGGTTTGCATTGTCACCTCTGCTGCCAGAGGAGAGGCACCTTGAGAGGTTTGAGGGCAGAGCCAAAGGCTGAGGTAAGCCCATGCCCTGGGAAAGGTGGTGATCAGGACCACTTGGTTCTTGAGTTTTGTCCTGCAGGGCTAGGAGAGAGGATGTGCACAGA